AAACTATATAGTAAACTTCGCTTATTTGTACTTACAAATGAGTTTATAAACAGCGTTAGTCCAAGACCCTCCTATTCCTGTGAAGCACCTTTTGGGTCGCGATTCCCTGCCGTATCTATAGTAACGCGCATCTTGTTCTCCTCCCCAGCATTCCCCCCAAAACTGCACACCAAACAGAGACAGCCCGCGGGCACGCGCGCGGTCCGCGCACACGTCGATTACTTTTTTAAAGTTATAGCCGTCAATTTTCCATCTGATGAAGTTTTTGGCGCTTTCCAACTGTACTGGCAGCGCTCGAGAAGGAACTTTGTCTTTATAACAGCCGAGATATTTGTAACGAAATCCATTTTCTGCAAGTTAAGAAAGTATTGCTAGTTAGATGCCAACGACTGGATAAAAAGATAAATAAGCCTGGAAATGCAAAAATTTAAGTAAAGACCAATATCTTTAATGCTTAGTTTTCTCTACATAATCTCCACCGGAGTACAAGACTTTTAATAAATTTAATCAATATACAAAATGACATGTTTGGTACTTACCAGAATTAGTTAGAATGTCTTCATCGGCCTGCAGAGTAAACGCACAAAATTTAAAAAAGAGGGTAGTGACCCATGATATAACATAGCATTAGTTCTTCTTTTATGATAAAATTACCTGAATTGCATCGAGTTTTCATTGGCTTAGCCATCATAGTATATGAACCTTATACCATGCTCTAAAAATATGGAAAGCGCGCGCGTAATTTTTCGGGGGCGTTTTTATTTTTATTTTATTATACTTCTTTATATGTTGGGCACGTTTTAATAAAACAATTATTCCACTTGCGCTTGTTGGATATGAGATGATAGCCAACCCGGTGCTAAGTTCCTCATTGGCTATCTATCATCGCATATGGACTGCATCTTAAAAACGCGCTCATGGAATAATTGCTTAGTAGTCTGATTCATGATCCAGACAGTGATATCATGGGGAAACTAAGATCGGAACTATGCTCGGCTGTCTCAGATTCCCAAAATGCTAAGTCCGCGTCGTTTCAGCTATGTTGCTAATTGGCACGACGTAACCTGACTCTGAGATTTTTCAAGAAAACGTCAAAAATATTTCAGCAAAGGCGCACGTAATTTTTCTAGTGACTAAGGTAGTGTCCACACCACGCTGGAGAAATTTGAAAACGCAGCTTTATTTCTACTGTTAGGTCTACCGTTCGCACTAATCCGTCACGGAAACGAAGGCTTCAAACCGGAGGAATTTGAAAACGCAGCTTTATTTCTACAGCTAGGCCTAGCGACCACACTAATCCGTCACGAAAACGGAGCTTTTCGAAATCACTCTTCAAACCGGAGGAATTTGAAAATGCGGGCCTTTCGTTTTCCTCGTGGAAGGAAAACATTTTGAAAATGGAGCTTTTCAGTCGCAAACGATGGCGTCGCGATACTCATGTGATTTTCCTGACCGAGTTTTCCTCAAACACAAATCCAAAATGATCGGTGATTGTTGCGTTTTGAGATCTTTTGAAATTCCTCCGGTGGTGCTGAAAACATTTAATGCGTTTTCAGAGTGAAACCTCCGTTTTCAAATTCCTGCGGCGCAGTGTGGATGGAAAACATTTGATGCGTTTTCAGAGTGAAACCTGCGTTTTCAAATTCCTCCGGCGCAGTGTGGACGGAAAACATTTGATGCGTTTTTCAGAGTGAAACCTGCGCTTTCAAATTCCTCCGGCGTAGTGTGGACGGGGCGTACCGTAACTATAGTTCACTGGAGACAGAACACTTCCTAAACACAACCTGTAGACTTACTTGAGTTTCCAGAAAGGTCATGCACGCCAATACGAACACCACTGCTTTTTTCATGCAGTCCATCGTGGTAATTTTCAATTTGCTGTGATTCTGATGACTAAAAAAAAAAAGAGTTCAAAGAAGAATTAAAAGAATGTGGTTCACTCGAAAAGCAGGCTCTGTCTTGTAAGAAACAGAATCTAAAAGCAAAGAAATGGACGAATGAATTGCTAATTATAATAACTAATAAAAAGAACAGTACTGTAGTTCTTTGGAAAACTGTTCTAACTTTGAGTCGCCTTTCCCACTTAAATTAGCCTTGATTCAGACCAGGAGCCACAATCGGGGACTAAGTACAGATTCGCAGTTGACAATGGTTTACTTTATTCTGGAGTATCAGCCGGGCTGGTGTACATGGTTAAGGACTTTGTTTTAGTCAGGTATATTGATACAATTCAGTATTGAACACTCCTCATGATTCAGCCGCGTCAGATCTGTGGTTGCGGCCTTGCCAGGGTTGTTTTACAACAGTGCGACTCTCCTTGCCCACTGTCAGCCGTATTGCCTGACAACAAGCTCTCACTGGAACTTGTGATAGACTAGCAGCCGATCCAACGGGGAGAGAGGGGACGGAGGAGGGGAGCATAACAATAGGATGCCTCTAGTCGCTTCATGCTACGGCCAGAATCACACACCGGTACTGATCAGGATGAATTATCAGATTGCCCCGTCGACAGGATATTTTTAACCTTTTCACTCGCTATCAACCGATTCGTATTTTATAAAATCATTTACCCTCAGCCGTTGTAGAGAATTAATCATCCTTTTACCATTGGGTTTCCAGCTGCTTCCTCACAGTCAATATCTTTTGTTTATTTATTAAATCTAATGTTACGCACATTCTTCTTAAACAAACATTCACTGTATTGTCTTTTGATATCTATTGAAATTGAATTTTTTTAATATAAATAATTTTCTACATCTTTGGAAAACGTAAAACTTCATTGTTACTCATTCGATGAGAAAGCAATGGTTTTTCTACAAAAGCTAACATAGGAACAGTACTCGCTCTGTACTGATTTATAAACCCTGTAATTTTACTGTTCACAATTTAAATATTCTTGGTGTTGGTGACGGAAAATAAGCATTAACTATCTTTTTTGACCCGTTTTCGAATGCTCAAGACGGCTGAGTTGTATTAGAAAGACGACAACAAATCTGATAAAATAGTGTTTCGAAAAAAAATATGCTCATCTAATTATCCTCATTTTCTTGACTTTTTTAGTTACGCTTGAGGAAACAGGAATTGGCCTTCTTATAAAACCATTACATCTGAACAGGTTTCGACAACTGTCTGTTCTAACGTTAGATATCATTTGTTTTTTGGACACTGAGTGACCAATTATTAACAACGATTGCCAACTTACCTCAGATTTGTCCTTCGGAGCGGCGTTCTTCAACGGCCGCTCACTCAAACTGTACTCGTGGTTTGAGAGCGGAGAGTTCTATCTTGAGACAGTATCCGAGATACCACACCCACTTAGTTAAGCATGTTCAATAGTCAACAAGAGACTTTTGGTTTGTGTTTACTTTAAAGCAATTTTTGATACAACAAAGCGCCTCCTTTGTCAACAATATCCCATCGATAAAATTAGTGTGATCTAATTTTATTGAATAATCTGAACGGAACGCGGTCCTTTTACCGAAATTATATTGAGACAGAATTGCAACTTAGATTGAATTAGTGGGGCTAAATTGTTGGTGAAGGAAGGTTATTCAAGATATTGTTTAAGAGTTTAATTAAAATAGGTAGTTGACATTGAGTCAATCACTTAGTAAGAATTGATTTAAAGGTATGACGTCAGGTGTAAGGAAAGAGAAAGCTTTTGTTTTTAGCAGCAGTACTTGAAGTAAATCTACGCACGAAAGCTTAAAATCCTTCCATTTTAAATTTGTTCTTAATATCGTCAGCACTTCGGATTGCATTTGTTTTAGCTATGGAATGACGTTAAGTCCTCTTTTTGTGTAAATGAATCAAATTTAATAATAAAATCATTCTTCCGATCTATTGTTAAGTGTGAAAAAAGTATCTAATTGCCTCGTTTCCGGAGACTTTGATCACGGGTTAATCGACGAAATATTTTTTTTCCTATGGAAGCCAATTTATTTCCTCCTTAATCGATTTACCTAACAAAATTTTCTTGCCTGGTCTTTCTTTCCTACGTAGGTTTTGAAGATTTAGTTCTACAATTGCAAACAAAGCTGACTTTGACAATACAAATATATCAAATTCGTTTTCAATTGTTTGGAGTAAAGAATGGAAAATAAACTGCTAGATATTTCACTG